TTGCCTTGGACTGAGTATGAGTGCGTGAGGGACGTGGTGCTAATACTTCGTTTTCCAATAGTGAAATGTTCACGAGTACTGAACAGATGAGCTTGCTGTTATTGCCTAGGTTACGATCGCCAACACGTCATTTTCCTCACGCTATGCTTTTTCATTTTCAAAAAATTGTTCCGAAGTCAAAACTTATCTAGGAAAATCGATGTCTGTACCAAATGTGTACGCTAAAATATATCTGCAATTGATGACGAAAAATCTCAATTAGAAACATGGTTCATGGAGAAGCCAGTCGACACGAATTCTCGGTGCCGAAAAATATTATTTACCCCGCCTCGGTAAGGTCCTTAGCGCCCATACGGATTTTGGCATGGAAAATCGTACCCAGGAACCTCTCTAGTGAAGCCATGTGCCATATATGGCCTTTCACCTTTCGCCGTCCAAATGTTTGTGATTCGGAATTCGAAATACGGAAATTTCAAAAGCTATGGTCAGTGCCCCATCCTGGACTGACCGGATAATCGAAGGATGTATGTACCATGTCCATTGTACCATTGTGCCTAACATAACTTGTGATGTGTCAATGTATTCTTTCTTGTTTCTTGACAGAATTCAACAGTTACTTCCTTGGACTTGTGAAAAAGGTGTTCGGCCCTAGAGTGTTCACACCACCCACCCCTCCTACTAAGTAGTAAGTGGACATACACGACACAGTTCATACTTCAAGTGTTTGAGTCAGTTACATGTACATGTACTTGCAACTACTGTGCACTGCTGGCAACTGAAATCCGGCCCCCTAGCGGTGCATCCACATCCTAGCGGTCTATGTTTCGCAGTTTTCCCATCCCGTTCTGGGTCTTTGCGATGTGAGCGCACCGCCGCTCAGGGCGTCAGATTTCAGTTGCCAGCACTGTACATGTTGTACTGCATGATGGGGCCGGCTAGGCGATGACGTCATCAAGCGCCCGGCCACACATGCAGTCAGAAGTACATGACATTGTCTACATGTACTGGCAACTACTGTACGGTGATGGTAACTGAAATCCGACCCCCTAGCGGTGCGGCCACATTCTAGCGGTCTATGTTTCGCAGTATGTGTGTGTGTATGTGTGTGTGTGTGTGTGTGTGTGTGTGTGTGTGTGTGTGTGTGTGTGTGTGAGTGTGAGTGTGTGTGGGTGTGTGGTGTGTGGGTGTGTATGGGTGTGTGTGTGTGTGGGGGGGGGGGGGGTGGGTGTGTTGATGTGTGGGTGTAGATGTGCAATGCTTCGACTTCTGTCGCTTCTCTTCTCTTCTCTCTTCCTGTAGGTGTCTTCCGCTTCTGGGCTGGCATGGCCCATACTTCATGGGTGCTTGTTCCTGTTGTTGTTATGTATACTGCGTCTTGCCGCTACTCCGGCTTTTGCCGTGACCACTATGTGTTTCCCGCTTTTCCCCTTTATCCTTTCCTTTCTCTTTTTGCTAAAAGCTTTCTTCTCGCCGTGACCACGATTTTTCTTTTCTTTTTCTCCTTTATTCTTTTTCTCTCCTTCTTTTCTCTTCTTCCTTTGCTGAGAGCCTTCTGTTCCCATATTTTCTTCACATCTGTGTCCCCATTTCTGGGTTACTTGGACTTCATTCGCTTCCTTGTCATTGGACATGTTCAGTCCGTTCGGTTTGGGAATTCAAATACTGTAAAATGAGAAACTTTCGCTAGAGATTAAATTTCGCCATTTTCGCGACCATCACACATTCGCGAATATAAAACGCCGCAAACTCCTCCGTACATTAATTGTAGACAGTACAAGATCCGACTGAAGAGATAGAATCGCAAAAGTTTCTCATCGTAAACCAGCCTAATTATGAAAACGCAAAAGTTTGTCGCTTTGCAGAAAACACAACCAACCAACCAACTCAAATCCGCTGCCTTCAAAATCTTGGGAGCGGAACTCTCGCTTTTGTGGTTTCGCTTCAGCGGGATACACAACGGTCTGCTGAATATGGACTTGCTACGAGAAATTCGTATGCGTATGGTCTCCATGAAACAAACAAATGCGTGGCAGATATTCACGGACTCCCCACCATGCCGTACCGTATGCACCACAGTCCACTTCGCTCTCATTTTTCAATTCACCAAAGAAGAGCTTGCCCTGTCTGTCATGTGCGACCATACACGCATAGCTCCATTGAAGAGGCACCAGTCTCGCTGCCGCAGAACCTCGCCAAAAGGGGAAACCCCAGTGCACGTGCCATTTTTCAATTAGGTTCCGATGAAAGACAATTTGATATCCGTTCGAATTGCATTCAATAAGCCAACCTTGCCAAATCGTCAGTTGTATTATTATACGGTGCTATCGACCAGCGCAGTGGTGACATACAATCGACTCGGCTCCGCCAGAGAGAAGGTCGATCACTGCAGAATTTGGTCCTTTTCAATTGTCTTATTGTATTCACGATGTGAAAGAACACTGCATGTGTTCAATGCTATAAGTGTCTTTATCGGCCCTCGCCTGCATTTCCCAAGGCTGAGTGTAGCCTAGGAAATGGTTTCTCTACGAGAAGATGCTTGGTATTCATCATCTCTCCTCAGACATTTTCAGCAAACTTTCCAAAAACTTGCAAAAAGTACGACATCATGCCGTTCGTCAATCTCCACAAACCGTAGTCTCACCGGGCTTCAGATTATGTCACGAGAGATTGCAAAATCGCCAGCAAGCATCGCATCTACTTGCAGGAAATTAAATGAGCAAAAAGCATTGTCCATATTATGTTGGGTCCCAAGAAGGACGACTGAGGACATCTTCTCCAGACATTACAACGGACAACGGGAACAAGTTATTGGGAACGACATATATTATAGATGGGATGCCTAAGACCAGGACGAACGAACGACTCCGTTGAAGAGTGAGATTTTTGAAGAGAGAGCTTATTGAAGAGAGAGAGAGAGAGAGAGCGAGCTTTGAAGAGAGAGAGCTCGACTGAGAAAAAACGCAATATAAAAGGGCCTGGGTAGCTATGACAAACATGGGCGCGCAAGTAGCTAACCAGGCCAACGATCGTCCAGTCGCTTCCCGTTGATCCTTACGTCGTGTCCCGTTGCGCCCCGTTGAATGTGAACTACAGCTGTAGGCTTAAGGTGGCTCACGCCTATTTCAAAAAAATTAACGATTGCTCTGAAAATTTGGTGGGTGGTTGCTCTTAGGAAGTGTATGCAAATGGCGAGTTAAAAAAACGGGGTCTCAATGCTAACTTTTGAGATATAGGCGATGTCAATTTCACTAAATTGTCAAATTTGTACAGGATTTGTGATGTATAGCGGACGGGTATTTCATCAAGAACCTGATTTACAATCTTCCTCATTTTTTGGTTATTGAATGGACTAACTGTGTACATGCCAATGAGAAAATAAAAAAATATATGCTTCAATGCTCAATTTCGCCATATAGGCGCAGAATGCCTTTTTGATAAGTTTGCTTTGCTACATGTACATGCACACCTACATATCCCATGTACATGTCCATATACATCTACTCTTCTCTACTAGCCCCACCCCAACCCTGCAATACACATTGACACATGTGTACACATACATACATACACACACACACACACACACACACACACATCTACCCTTCTCTACTAGCCCACCGAACCCTGCAATACACATTGACACACGTGTACACACACACATACCATACACATACCACACACATACCACCCACATACCATACACACACACACACACGTGCACACACACACACACACACACACACACACACACACACACACACACACACACACACACACACACACACACCTGTCCTGTCGAGCCACTACCACTAGGGTCACGTGGGCCCTGGAGGGGCAGCAGAGAGAGAGAGAGAAAGAGCACGCCACCCGATGGCGCTCCAGACACACACCATTGGACCATTGGACGCCCATCGTCGGAGGTGATGATAGCAATGCTACAGCAGAAGCCATAGCAGCTTGTGCTGGGATTGCACCATTCAACAGCTTGCAAGGCTGATGAATTGGCCGCCACTATTCAGACACACACACACACACACACACACCTACACACACCTACACACACCTACACACACACACACACACACACACACACACACACACACACACACACACACACACACACACACACACACACACGCACACACACAACTACTACTACTACTGCCACTGTAGCATGGTTGCCCACGGGCCACACCATTCCGAAAGAAGCCAGAGTCATTGTCAGGGGCAGAAACGGAGATGACGACTCAGGTCACTCTGTCGACGGAACTGACGGCTGCAGCGAGAACAGCGGACACCATTATGACGCTCTGTCAGACTTGGTTGCCCGATGGCCACGGTCGCACGTGTGACGTCTGAAACCAGGCGCTGACTTGAATTGTCGATTGCATGTCAAACACAAGAGAGAAGCTTGGAAGCTGAGCGGAATAGATGATGCCGGCGCGAACACTTTCGATGGTTCCAGGGGCAAACAATGATGCACACGCAAGCCACCACAAGAGTGAAACCACCTTCTGCATGTACCACACTGCACAGCACCACGCTGATCCTGGATGGGGAGACTTCGCTCTGCGCCACATTTGTGCCTTGTTTGTCACCTGGCTGGCGAAACGACCGATGGCAGATAAGACAGTACCGTCCACTCGCCATGCAGAATTATCCTGAGCAACCCCATACCAGGCCAGACACACACACACACACACACACGCACATTCACAAACGTGCGCGTAAACAGTGACTAAACACACACGCGCGCGCACACACAAGGCCCACACATGATCGCTAGCCTGCAGACCATCGCTCCAATGAAGATAAGATTACTACTTCTTTGCGTAAATGTGTTTGAGATAGAGTGTCACTCTTAGATGTGACTGATGCCATCAACCAATGTCAAGGGAAAAATTCACGGTTCGCGTCAGACTCGGCTAGAGGCCGAGTTTTCCGCATCCGTAGGAACACCGTCATCCTTCAAGGATCAAGGCGCAGATGCAAGGAAAGAATGTGTTCAATCTTCTTCTGCACACGTAGACTGAATAGGTTTGGGCATTTTCGATGATTTAGAATGTACGTCGCGTGAATATGACAATGTGACAGAGGCAGCCACAATTTACTGATTACTGTGCATTGATCTAGCTATAATACACTGCAAGTGCACTGTAAATATTGTGTTACATGCACGTAGTTGTGAAGGGAGACAGTGTACATGTACATTCACCAATGATACACCTGTCAGACAGCAGGTTAGGGCTAGTCAAAGTTATGAAGGCACAATATACGATACGAAGGCATAATTTTGCGATGTACTTGAGTTTGTGAATATATAGTGGACTTTGTGTTCACACATACTCTACCAAATTACCATGCACACCCTTGTAACACACACACACACACACACACACACACTTGAGCCTGGGGAGCATGATTGCTGCCAGCCAGTGTTGCTTTCAAATGCTTATTCTCGTCAGGAGTGATGTGAAACACATACACGTACTGGTAAATATCAATCTCTAAAAAATGGATCCTAAATTAAACGCTCGAGCACCGAGTGAGAAGACAATAGATTGAAGGAATTTCTCAACAAAAACTCAGTGCACCGCTGTGATCAAGCCGTGGCAATAACTATAGGATCTAGGAGAGTTCTTGGTGGACAGCGATTACCAAAAAGAAATGGTGAGATACTACAGTAGTACCCTCTACTGACACAATGCAACCACGCTGTCCAGTACATGTTCGAATCAAAAATACTTTCGTTCGTTCGTGACCATTTCAATTTATATGCAAGGGCGACCTCCACAATCCACTGTCTTCAGAGTCGATTGATCATTTATAGAACGGCCATTCTTGACAAAATAGTCAGACAAATTTTGTGAAGGATGGGGTTCTACTGTGGAAGGGACTCGCCAAGTCACTTGAACCAATTCAACGAAAATACAAAATAACCGACGAGGAGACAACAGTCGTAAAATAGCAATGAAAAATATCAATTGTGCACTCATAACCATGTATAAACAATTAAAATGAAACAATTCCAGAACGTTTTCGTGTGACCATCATCAGTGGAACATCGTCACATAGTAAGAATCACTAAAACAACCAGTTATATAGCTAGAGTAATATGAAAAGAAGCGTGAGAATGCAGCACAGCTAGCGGTTATGCATAACGCGTGTAGTGTGAACCTTTGCAGTGTATCTGAGAATGGTAGCAGTAGATGAATGTGGCAGCTGTGAGTGCGTGTGAACAAAAACTGGTGAGTGCGTATTATTTAAAAAGTGTGAGTGCTACAACATTTTCTTTTTGCTTGCATAGAACAGGGTCACGTGTGCGAATATATACAGCTTCCAACACCTGCAACTGCTTAAAGAAACGCGCGCGACAAATAACACTAAACCAGGAATCGTCAAACAACTTACGACAATCCGGTGTTGGAAGCTGTATATATTCGCACACGTGACCCTGTTCTATGCAAGCAAAAAGAAAATGTTGTAGCACTCACACTTTTTAAATAATACGCACTCACCAGTTTTTGTTCACACGCACTCACAGCTGCCACATTCATCTACTGCTACCATTCTCAGATACACTGCAAAGGTTCACACTACACGCGTTATGCATAACCGCTAGCTGTGCTGCATTCTCACGCTTCTT